GTATTTGCCAAAGTCTTCATACATTTGTACATATAATCTGTACATAAGAGTACAGTCTCTGGGCTCCATGTACTCACCAAGGATATTTGGAAGCGATACCTGAGTTACGCCAGCAATAGACCCACAACAAAACTGCAGTGGCTCAAAACATGATATTGTGCCCAGCATAGCAGCATTACATTCAGCAATCTCAGTGCTGCAGAAAAGTCTCTGCACTGAAATCCAGGCCTCCGATCATGCACCTCTCTGTAAAATACCCTGGTATTTCTAATTCTGTAGATGGGAAGACTGAGAGGTAATGACATAAGGGGAGCTACATGATGTCAAACTGACTTTGCTTCTGAGCACAGATGTGGTATCTAGGCACCTGAATTTGACATTTACATGAGTGAAAGTCTGTAGGCAGACACTGAGAAACAATAACAGCCTCAAGTCCAAGCAGCTTAGGACTGGAACCATACAGGTACAGGTATTAAAGCCACAACCTTCACTAGCCTCTTCCCCATAAAGAACATGTATTTTAAGGGTACATGGGGTCTCTCACAAATACGATGGAGAATTTTCTCCTACAATCATGCTTATTACACATTAAACTGGAACAACGCTGATTAACAGCAGGACTGCACAGATGCCTGTGCCTTCATTCACCTGAATGTACCGGGGTTTCTTTTCAGAATAGGCAAGTGAAATCTCTTCCTTGTTCAAGGAATCACACATTAAACACATGCATCCTTTCTCAACACTCTGAGCCTATCCACCTTTTGTTGCTGTCTTACTAGCACTTACACAGACTGGCAAGATTGCAGGGGGTAAGAGAAGGACCTAGCACACGGGTGTGCTTTTCTGAAATGGTATTGTGGGAAGATCAGTTGGGATGGAAAAACAGGAAATCAAATATTGAGGAAATAAACGAACTGTAAAAACACCTATTGTTGTATCAGTACTTTGAATTGAAGTTCCTCCTGGCCTATAAGCAAAGTTTTCTGTCACACTGGGAACGATACTTTCCCTTGAGAACCCTGTGCAGAAAGAAACTTCCTATAAGAAAGTCCAATGATTTTCCCCATGAGAAGATAAGGGCTCTTCACTTCTACCTTATCAAAAGAAAAATAGGTGATGTCAATCCTTTAACCCCCCTGTAATCAATTAAAATGCAGGAATTCATCTCCAGTAGTGTCCTGTTCTTCTTTAGACAAATTACTTCCCTATTCCACTCTTCCTCTTAACCCAAGATTCACTTCATTCACAGGGCTGAAACCAAACCCCAATTCCAAACACATTCAGCAACTAAAATTCCAACCAGTGCCAGCTTTAAAGACTGATTCTGAAAGACACGAAGCAATCTTACAGCAGACACAGAACACAAGGTCCTTTCAAAGAAAAAAAACCCTTTCCCTTCATCTGTGCTTATTAGAGCTCTAGAGGCTTAAATGAAAGTCTTATTGCACCTGCAGCTTGCCGGAGAAACACACCCTCCTTCACACCGCTCCCAAATCCAGGCCAACAACAGAGAAGAAGTAAGATTTCGTCTTGAAAACAATGAGGCTACGGGTGCGAGGGAGGTCATCAACCAAAGACAGTGCAGCTCACAAGTGAAAACGAGGCCAGAACTCAGCCTGAGCTCTTTATGGTGATGGTAGATGAGGGCTGGCTTTAAATTTCCCAGGCAGATTATTGCAAAACTGAGGTCTGACAAAACCCCAAACCTGGTGATTTTTATTCATAAACTAAGTAAATTTGCTCTAGAAAGCATAAAGATACAAACATCGAGGGCTGCAGTGCTGTTTTAAGCGTCCAGTTTTCAGTAGAATGGCTCATGAGGTATATTAAACATTCTTCGTCTCTTTGTTGTTTTTTATTCTGTGTTAGGATATCATTAATGCTCCTTTGTTTTATTACCATGGAGGGATATTCCCAGTGTATGTGCCAGACAGGGATTCCACACACTTCCATATCATCTTTATCTGAAACTGCTTCTTTGCTGAATATGAGCCCTACAGATAGGAAAGGGTAGAACCACAACACGGTGCTCTTTAAACACTGCATGGTTAGCTTTTTTTTTCGTAAGTGGGCCATTACCAAGTGTTAAGACCTTCTGTGTAAAGTCATTTACACTAGAAAGCCAAGACTACAGCATCCTGCAAATTTCCATAAATAACAATTGGCCATGACAGCTTCTTTTCACCTATTCCATAGAGGGGAACTTCCTGAGAAGAGCCAGAAAAGGTGGAGATCACTTTAAAATGCCTCTCTCTGTCATTTCCAATACCCCGCCTAATTTCAGCTAGGCCAAAATCTCACTTGAAGTGAGCTGAAGTAGAAGCTTTTGTGTGTGTATGGAACCGTATCCAGCTGGGAGAGCAGTTAAATGCTTGCCCATCCCCTTAACTCTGGGCATGTAAATTCAAGACGAAGAGAGCTGTTTTGACGTTCTTGGCTGGAAATCACTCTCCACACCTATACTTTAATGCATCTCCTGTACGTGGTAGTTTGGCTGCTTTCTCTCACTACCATCTGTTCTGATGGCACAGTGCCTGCTCACAAGTTGAATGATATATAGGTGCCAGGCAACAATGCGTTTTGATGGGCAGGCTGCACAGCACTGCAGTTGTCATCTCTTGTGCATGAAGGCCACTCTCCGTGCCAGCAATGAAACATTGGCACTTGGTACCTCCATACACTTGTTCACACCTGTTGACACTTATGTGCCAGGAAAGGAGCACTTGAACAAGGGGGGTTGCAGGCTTGCATTACCTGCACGTATATGCAGCCCCTGGCTCAACCATCATCCTGTGCCTCAAGCAAATGCTGGGTCACAGCCTGGAATACTTCTGTGGGTCTTCACCTTAGTACTTTCCTAGAGCTCTGTGTCTGAAGGGAAGAAGAAGCTAGCTGCTCATAGAGATGAAAACTTCCTGGACCAGGCAAGTCCTTTGTCCCATCCAGACATTTAAGTGCAAGTCTATGCAAACCTTACATTTCTCTCATGTCCCAGCTAAAGGCCCAATTTTAACAATCCAAGGTCTTCCACAAGCACACCCAAGCTTGCCGCAGGTCCATGCCAGGTTCACTTCTCCTTTTCACATTTCCATAGCCAGGTGGACTCCCACTCCAAACTTCACCTATTTTGCAAACTTCAAAGCAGTCTTTCTTCATTGACAAGATTTAACCACATCCACCCATCTTTCAACTCAAGTAAAGCTTATTCTTGTAGCTTCTAAGGTATCAATGATTTACATAGAGGGAAAAGTATGTCAAGAACTGAAACATAGGACATTACAGATGAGTTTTTAAAAGCAGTATATTTCGAGGAAGGGAGAGTTTGCAGTCCCTGCATTGGGTGTATGCAGAAATTCAGTGATTTAGGGAGGAAAAGAATTCCCACACACTAGTAGAGATAAAACACGTGATTTCTTGGGGAATGTGGAAAGAGATTAGCGAATGAGCAGGGACTGGACAACTGGATTCGGAACCCAAAGCAGGAATATTTTCAGTGGGAACTTTTGTTAGACATTGCTTTGGGTGTGGGCTTTGTCCCAGATGCATGTGCCCAAGACTATTAATACATTTTTAGTAGCTACTGAGTATCATAAGATTATGATGACTGTGATTTAGAAGCCTGGCTTGTAGACACAGATGGAGAGACTGAAAGGCTGTAGAGGCCCTCTCCAGCTTCTACTGTGGTTATATGCACTTGGTCAGAAGGAGGAGCTTTGTTAAAGCCTCTGCTTTGCAGCAATATGAGGCAGTATTTCCCTGAGCAAGGCTTAGGTTACGTGGGGGCTAACCAGCCATCGTGTACACCTCACACGCACACTTCGCAGGAAATAAGAGAGATGCAATCATGTGAGCTACTGCATATTTGCTGCAGCCGTTACCAGGTAGCTGCTATTTCATTTCTATGAAATATCATGACTATGTAAATAACTCAAGTAATAATTGTAAATGGATGACTGTACTAAGGGAGGTGGGGGCAGGAGCCATAACTGCGCAGCTGCTGTGGCTGTGAAAATTCAACCTTAAGCAGCCTAAACATTCGTTTTACAGTGTACACCACCGATTACTTAATTACATCTAAAATATAAGTCAGACTGACTGAAAACCCCAGGGATTAAATTACAAACAGCTATGAAGCAATGTGCATGCATACACCCTACTTTGACTTTAAAAAAATCATTGTTTTCCAATGGGGATGAAGGATTTTTCTATTTCTGTTCTGGAAAACATCGTTATGTTACAAACAGGTAAATATTTCTAAGTAATATTAGATGTGCGTGGGAACATCCATCTTCAGCCTTTCACTGTGGACTCTCACTAAAGGTTCTTATCTTTATGTATATTTGAACAAGAAGATCTACATATGCTTGATCTCGGTATGAACCTCTGTATGACCTGATTTTGTTGCCATGGCCACCAATTAGACCAGCCTTGTTGACTGCAGAACAACAGTCAAAGCATCTCTATTAAGTTCTGAAAAAGAATGTCATATTTTATCAGCACACTACAACAGCTTATCCTCGTGGCAGTGTTTGTTTCTTCCATTAGCTTTATATTTAAGCATTTAACTTAAAAGACTGGGATAAAAAAAGCGGGGGGGAGGAGAAGAGTGGGAAGCAGTGCCTGTGTCATTCACCAGAAGGCTCACATTGGGGTTTTGGTTTGGTACTTTTCAATATCTGCTCTTATTTTCCAGGTTTTCCCCTCTAAGAATATTGAGGACAGACAAAGACTGTGGCAGCATCTTTGCTTCATGAGAACATGGAGATTAGCAGAAACTCTTTCCTCCAGTTGCTTCTTTTGAGGATCCTCATGGAATTTTTTATAACAAACGCAGCTTTTTAAAACATTCTCCCTTCCAATTTGTGAGGAAAAAGTTGCCTCTAACGCTCACTCAGCAAACACTTTACCCAGCAGTAAGTGCGTGTGAAGATGCTGAATACTGTCACATGTACAAGACAGACAGTTCAATACCATCAGTGCTGTATTTTGTTAATGCCTACCTGGAAAAAAAAGAAGCAATCAACTTGTAATGTACTCAGTTTCCATCAAAACAAATAGAGAGGCTGGGGGATAGCAGAGTTCCACGACTAAATCTTTTCTTGCTCAGGCTTCCTCTTTAGAAAATAATTTTCTTACTATTGTTTTCACAAAAGCTTTCAAATGCCCTAAAATAATGCAGAGAAATTGGCTTTTATTTTGAACAGGATTTCTCAATATGTACTGCATCTCTTGGCATATCTATTATATTAACTCAAGCCTTAATGATACAATGGTTAAAAACAGAGTACAGATGTGTATAAATGAAAAATGTAATAGATTTCCCTCTTAATGTAATAGAATTGGCACGAGGTATTGGAAACAGGAGTGAAAGTAGTCACTCAAGCATTGTGTTTGCATGTTATTTAAATACAAGTGGTTGAGGTATAAGTACCTCTAAGTACACCTGAAAGAGATGGTGCCTTGTAATCATTGTTTCAGCAATTGACAGTTGTTTACACAACAGCAGCACATTCTCTACTGATTTGAATAATAAACATGTTTAAACACCAGCTGGATAATAGAAGCATAATTGAAACATAGTTTAAAGCTCTGATTTACAGGCATTGTGGCAACACTTTTATTTGTGGTACAATGCTATACTTCTGTGCAGCCTCTTGAAAAAATTAAATAGGCATTGTTTCAAACAACTTTGGGATATATTTAACTCGATTAATCTATCGTGCAGTTGTGTGCTCACAGGGACGGACAGACAGAATAAAGAACACACCATCAAAACTTCTAAAAGGCTTATAAACTGGTGTCCACATGCTACTTACTTGTACTGCTTAGTTGGCTGGGCCCTTGTGCATATACATCCCAAGTGTGAACCTGTAGTGCTTATGAAGTTTATAAAGCCCACAGAGGACAAGAACCCAGATGGCTGCATAGTCATATTGCCAGGTAAATTAGAGATAAAAACAGAGAGAGAAGCAGAACTTCTTCAGTCATTACATGTGACAGGCTGCGCGCAACAAAGGGACCATAAACATGCTGTGAGATTTGAGGTGCTGCCCACATCTCCTCGCTTCTTGTCTACACCAGAATTTGAACACTTCAGAGTTCACTGCTTGGGCTTGTCTTCTGAAATGAAAATCTAAAGAGAAGCCCAGGCAGCCCGACTGCTCTTTTTCTTACAAACATCTCTGCAAATACTTTCTTCATGCAAACCTACCGGCTGAGAAGCCTAAGTATGTGGCTGTAGATTGTCATCAGACCATATACTTTCTTAAATCCCAAGCATCAGCTAATCCAAGGCAGCCTAGCTCTCACTTTTTCATCCTGTTTCTGATCTCTTATCCCCATTCTGAACCAAATTAATTCACTGACAAGCATGGAGGTGTGGGCAATTTTTCCATGCATGCATTTAGGTCCAGTTTTCTGCCTCTGACATTTTAGTCAAAGCTATTGAGATTGCTTGATCCCAACCTGTACAAAGCCTACAACTTACTCGAGAAGATGACAGATACCATGACTAGCTTCTTTTACACACCAAGCCCTGTCAGTTCTTGCTGACTGACCCCTAAGTTAAAGGTTTTCAAGAGCCACATCAGCTCAGACACTGAGAAAAGCCTCAAAAGAAAGACCTTAACAGTAGCCCCTACTTTCATTCTTTACAATGTGTGAATCATATATCAGGTAAAGAGAGGAAGGCAGTTTGCAGGACTAGATTATGTTTGGGATCATAGAATCACAGACTGGTTTGGGTTGGAAAGGACCTTAAGGTCATCCAGTTCCAACATACCTACCATGAGCAGGGACACCTCACACTAGAACATGTTGTCCTGTCCAACCTGGCCTTGAAATATGCAACATTATATATAGATATATATATATAAAATATGTGTAATAGGTATATATAATTTATATTATATAAAATATAATATATACATAATATATAAATATGAGAAGCAAGACAACTTGTGTCAACTTTCAGTTTCCAGTGGAAATCTGTTTTCATTGTACTTATAATAATGTTACCAAAATCAGACAAATCAGCATGAGATATGTCTAAAATGACTATTTTTATTGTTATTATTTCTGCCTTGGTGTTTTTATTTTTTTCTAATGTTCTTTAAACTTCAGATTTAAAAAATAGCCCATTATTTTCCTTACCCCTCCTCCATTGATTTTTACCTAGTTATTGACTGAAAAAACAGGGCAGGGGGCACACACCAGGCTTGTGTGCTCATGTCGACCTGTGTTGCTAAACAGATGTTGTTGCCTTGCATTCCAGATGGAGCTTGTTTAGGCCATGTGACTTCAGTCTAGATATCCCAACTTGTACCTCTTACTAACTTTCAGAAAGCTAAAACCCTGAGATCTTCAATGCCAAGCCAAGTAGGACTTCATCCCTATGCATAGGTCAGTTTCATGGTATTAGAAATACGAAGACATGGGGAAACAAAGCATGAAAAGAAAACTATTTTACAATAAATCCTGAAACTGAAAGCAGTCCTTTCTTCAGCGATATTGATGTGTCTATAGTTAAACTTTTGTTGCTAAAGAAAGTAAAAATACACAGGACTAACCCTAAGTACTATTAAACCTGACAGTAATTCAAGAAACATTCTTCCCCATGCATATACACATACTCACTTCTTACCTTGGGGTTTCTCATGTGTGTGATATCTCCATAGATGGACCAGACCTTCCCTGGAAATAGTTTGTTAGCTGCTCCAAGGAATGCACACACACACCAGCAAAGTTCACATGGATCAGGCTGGAAAACAGTAGAATCCAGATGTAAAACATAGAAGAGAATAGGACACATCTATACACATCTTTCAGTCAATAAAAATGCAGCCTATGGATGCAGCTGGAAATTGGACTGCACTAATTAAGAGACACTAATCTCTTTATGATACAAAGCAAAGTTCTGTACAGTGTTGCTAAATACTATGTATGCCATACATTTTTATTTCTGGAAAAAAAGAATATTCCCAATGAGCACGTCCTATCACCAGATAATGGATGGATGCTCTGAGGTACTCTTGGAAGAGACATGAAAGAAGAAATGCACCACATACAACGATATAGGAAGAGGCACAATAGGAGAGTGTGGGTCAGACTTAGGGAGGCCTTTATCTAAGGAACTAACAAACAGAAGCTGCACTCGATAACAACGTACGGCTGGATAAGATGCATGGAAAAAATCACCATGAGCTTCCACAAGATAGGATGGAGGGACAATGGTGTGTTGTAGCTGTGGGATAGTGTTAAGCAGTTTCAGTAAGCTGCGTGTGTTATAGTTCCTGGGCCAGATTCTGGCCCCTTTGTGCTAGGTCTCAGGAGTGCCCTACAAAAGCTGGGGGATTTTCCTTCAAAAAAGGAGCATTGCCAGGTGGCCGAGTGCCAGGATGAGTCACTCTGCACTACCCATTCCTTACAGGAAGACAGAAGTTCCTGAACAGGAAAGGATGAGGCAGGAGTGCACATAAATCCAGCTGCCCTAGACCCAGAGGACAGATCTCGCCTCGGTAGCCCTGTTTGGGACTTTTGCTCTTTGAATGCCTAGAAAAACTGGGCCAGCTTTTTCCATTCCTCTCACTGACAGAACATATCTATATTTCTTGACTTGGGGCACAGGGGAAAAAATAAGGCTCAGGGCCGTGAAAGAAGCTATACTGATTAATTCTAACAGGTATAGAGAAAAGGGCCTGTTTCAGTGGCTTTCTGAAACATGAAACAAACAGAATAATAGGATTCAACCTCATGTAGTGAACAGCAGTTCAGAGAAAAGCCATGTTTGCAGCATTAGAAAACTTACTCTTACTTTGGGCCATGGATCTATGCTCCCTGCACATGACAGAAGGCATTCACAGATGTCCTGTTTGCTTGCTTGGCCACTCTAAATGTGCAAAGGAAAACACCTTCTTCTTCATCTAATCCATCATTAAACTGGGTGATTCCTGCAGAAGGGAAAAAGCATAAGCAGTGAAAGAAGGAATTAGGTGAAATCCAGGTTGCTAATGTCAGGATTAGGGAGGGGACTATGACCTACATGCAATGTCCAGCTCTGGAAATGGTTTGCCAGAAGCTCAGTAGCAGTGAATGGTCACTGTGTGTAGATACACCCACATGTGTCTGAAGGAAAATTGGCAAGGATAAGCCCTCCCAACCTACCTGCCTTACACAGCATACACTTTACTGGCATTACTAGGTGAGTTAAAGCACTGGGTCAAAAAGATCTTCAACTTCACTCATTCTAGCACTTGCTATGTTGTAATATCAGCCTAGCTGTGTTTCTTAATGCTGGATTCTCAGATGTTCACCAGTTTAGGGGGAATCACCAAACTGAGCGAGTACAAAAGGAGAACCTCACCACCATTTCGTCTTCCCCAATAAATTCATGACGTCATTTTAAATATATTTCACCAAACATTTTGAGCCAAAACTTTTTTTTTTTTTTTTTTTTTAAGGGTAAGAGATACCAGCAACAGAGGGAAACTGACATTTCTTTATCAGCTATGGTACATATAATGTGACATTCAAACACAAGTGCTACTCAATAGCTTTTAAGTCACAGAAGGTGACTGAGAACACTTCTCTCTTTTGTAAAATAAAAAATAAAGGGAAAAAATAAGAAAAAGAAATGTGACAGACAATCCTCAGCAGAAAGATCCACTTTGACTTAAAATATAGGGTAACAAGTGTTAGAAATTTACAAGCACAAAGCCCATCTATTAAGATTCTGAACAAATAGTAAGTCTAGCTAGGAAGAAGTGTTCCCATTAATGTATGGTTAGTTATGTCAAGGACAGTAAATGAAGCTGCCTTTCGTTCATCAGATTGATCCATCTAAATCAGGGCAAGCTATGCCATCAAAAATGCATTTTCATCATGTGTTACAGATCAAATAATAACAAATACAGAAGAACAATTAATAAACAATAGCTCCCCACTCCACCAGTAGCTGTTTAACTCACACATAGTGCTTCTGTGCTATTCAGCTCCAAAGAGTGCTGGAGTAAACAAATTGTACGTGTAAAGCTACAGATCTGCAGAGAAGCCAAAGAAAGAGAAAAGGATATTTGTAGTTTTTAAGAACTGTTTGGGTTGAAAAACTATTCCCGTAAAGCAACTGCAGCTACTACATGAGACCGTGCTGCTACCACCTGCAAATGAAAGCCAGACAGTCAGCTGAGGAATAATTTAACAGGAGCATAAATGACTGAGTGAAATGGTGGATTCATCTCCTGTATCTTTCAAATGAAAACAAGATGCCTTTCTGGCTGATCAGTTGTAGCTAAACACCAAACTGTATGGCCCCGTAGAAAAAGTGACTGGATGAAATGAAATGGTTTCCTCTGATATTACAATGCACAAAGTTTAGGTCAGTAAAGTGTTCAGGAATTTACTCACAGAACTCTGGCTGTATTTGCACCACAGAGGATGTCCCAAAAGATATCTTCTCTTGAGCTGGGCATCTCTGCTTAAAACTGTTGGGGATGTAGGAAATCCAAAAGCCAGTGTAGAAGTCCCTGAAGAAGTTAGGTATATTCCAAACATTCATTACTCACATTGGTGATGGTGCCTTCTTCTTGCCAAATAGTCCTGTGCTTGCAGCATTTATCTAGCTGTGAAGTCAGAATATTAGGGGTCATTTTAAACTGAGGCTTTTGAACTCCAAATCTTATGAGAGTGCACAGACCATGAAGTTATAGGAGACTTTGTAACCACTGTGCATCCAGGAATGGAACAATCATGGGGCCAGAAACATCTCATGGTCATCTAGCGGTGAAGCCAGGAGGGGAAAGGCTTAGGATTCTCATCTTTTCCTTTGGAAGAGTTTCTGGTTTGAAGTCAATAATTAGCTACCATAAATCACAATCTCACCCCCGCAGGAGTGACTTTACCTGTGCACCACAATGGCTGACTCCATGTACCTTCAGCTCTCAGGTGACCGGCAGTCTCATTCCAGCTAGAGAGATGCAAAATGTTGGGGTATTTTCCTCTGAAAATCTCACAACTTGATGCTTTGTACATATTCCTGGGACATGAAAAAATGCAACCCCAAATCCCACCTGGCCTGAGTAGGCTGGAACCATCCTTCCTCTTCACGTGCAAGTGCAACAGATACTGGATTTGTGTGAAAAAGTGATGCTTTCATCTTCTCTAAGGGAGCAGCATTCTCTATCTACAAAAAGACTGAATTCCTCCTTTACAGAGGTATTTGGCTGTGGTTCTGAATTTGATATCATTGTTCTAGACAAACCAATTTGTTCCTGCTGGCAGAGGTGTCTCCGAAGTTAAATTGCCCTGTCTAGAATCCTAACTCTCCCTCCTACTCTGCTTTTGGACCCTAAGTACTGAAC